AGTCCCAAGGACAGGTAATGTGATAACTGAAAGGGCTGAACAAGCTTTTAAATTCTTACATTCATTTTCCATTTGCTAATGTTTATCTTTTGTCCGCTTACTCTGGACACACACTGTATACTGCAGATGAAACCTCAAAATCATGATATTGTGAATGGCTACACCGTTTAGGCAGATATTGTTGCCAGTTCCCTGGAATCACAAACAGAGGTTGAATTAAAGCAGTACTGAGGGCTGATTTATTGCTTGCTTTCCTTATTTGCACAGTTATACTCTCACACACATTCCATGCGTACAGGTGACAGGCTGCAGGTGAGGATGTTGCTTTTAATCTTAGGTGACTGAGACTGGCCAGGTTCTAGCTTCCTAGAGATTGAACCGCTAGGCAACGAGAGTCCCCGAAGCCCCTTCAGGTCTGTGGGAGGGCTCTACTGCTTCTGGTCCGGTCCTGAGTTCTTGCTGTCGTGGATTACATCTCTCTCTGGCCGCTACTGACGTAGGTTTGTATACAGTCCCATGCACATCTTGATCATCCTTACATGATAATATTTCGGTTCAAGCCTTGCAATTGATTTCTTACACTCACACTATCTCACTCATTCCTTACATATTCATAAGCATGAATACAATTGGTAATATAGCTTTAAGCAAGCCCCTCACATCAGTGAGGACTTCCTCTGGTTTTTGTGGTTCAGACAGGAAACTGTGTAAACTGCACTTTTAGACATGACAGGAAGTCTACACAGACAGACTGCTTTTGAAAAAGCAAAAACGCTCCAAGACATTGATAAGGTACACAAGAAAGATATCCTGATTGTACAGGGAGATTCGAATGCTAAAGTGAGTACTGACGCACAGGCAGATTGGCGAGGTTATTGAGGCCCTTTCTGTAATGTAGTAACCAATGAGAGAGGACTGAGACTTTTGGAGTTTGCCAGCTCTAACAATCTGGTTCTTACAAACACAATAGGAGCACATAAAGCATCCAGACGATCAACGTGGCATGCACCTGATGGTTTACATCACAGTCAGATTGACTACATCATGGTGCAAAACAAGGAACTTCGCCGGTGCTGATATTGGAAATGATCACGACCTTGTAATGCTAAACTTTTGGCTGCGTCTAAAGAAAATCGTCAGGCCAAAGTTCACCAGAATCAAGTTTGACTTAGAAAGACTTAGAGACCGCAGCATTGCGGAGTCATTCCAAGCAATGATTGGCGGAAAATTTGCTCCGCTGCTTGCTCTAGAGGAAGTCGTAGAAACAATGACCAACAATTTTAACGCTGTAATGAAAGAGGCAGCAATGGATATCCTTGGGAAACACCGTAAGAAGACAAAAACTTGGGTCACAAATGAAATACTACAAATGTGTGACATTAGAAGAGAACTCAAGAGAGATAAGAACAGCACGGAGGGAGCTGATAAATACAGAGTAATTGGCGGAAAAATCAAGAAAGGAATGAAGTTGGCCAAAAAGATATGGATCGAAAAACAATGCTCTAAAATTGAAGAGTGTCAATAATAAAGATAGTAAATGAGCCTTCCAGATTGTAAAAGATCTGACAAAGGAGAGATGGACCAAAGCTAACGCAATTCAAGACAAAGAATGGAACAGTCTCACAGAAGAAAAGGACATCAATAGATGGACAAATTACTGCTCTGATCTATACAACCACCAGACAAATGGAGATCCTGTGTCCTAGACAACCCAGATTCAACAGAGGAGGATGACTTTCCAATAATGCTTGAAGAAGTGGAGACAGCTGTGAAATCACTCAAGAACGGAAAGGCTACAGGTATTGACAATATCCCAGCCGAACTAATGAAATTCGGAGGAGAAATAGTAATAGATGTACTCACCAAGATCTGCAACAAGATCTGGCAAACCGGTGAGTGACCTGAATAACAAATTATGAAACTAAACAAAACCACAAGAAAGAAATAAGTCTGATTTGTAGTAAACAACATAATTGAAGGAACTAAGGTAGGTACCAAACTTGAACCAGACTCCCAAAAGCTTTGTGTAGTTATGCTAAGAGAGCTCATGGAAAATTACTCACAAATGAGCTTTTGTATCATGTATAAAATGGAAATGTGCTGTGGACATGGATCATCTTGCTGGCAAATAGGAAATATTACCTTCAAATTTGACAGTGTAGGAATTGATAATGTAAGTATGGCAAGTAAAATACTGTAAAAAAGCCGGTACAAAAACCCTGCTTAGAGAGAGAAAAAGCTGGAACAGAAGTGAAGCTGCAACCTGTTCCCGAGGTTGGTGATGTATTAACTTTTACCTTTCTGTTTGTGCTGGTCTGTCTGACTGATAACTAAGCTCAATTGGGTTTGATGTCTTGCTGATCAGTAATCTAAATTGAACCAACAACTTTTTGCAAATAGTTCGTATCCCATGATTGCTCCTCTTAATTGTTGTCCTATGATGCTTTATTTGCTACCTTTATATGACTTTAATAATATAAGTTAGAAATTTACTCATGGATGCCTTACTTATAGCTTCTTTGCTCATAATTAAATAAGTATCACCATAAATAAATTTAAAGTGACAAGGCTGATACTGTTGACCTATAAACCTGATGTGAAAGTCTTGTAGGTTGTCTGTGAGACAGACTCCATAATGCTTTGCAGTTATTCTAAGAAGAAGAAAAATATTAGCTTGTTAGAATTACCAGAAAGATGGAACCTTTGCAAGAATTGTTAATACTTCTAGTGATGTAGTAACAAATCCTTAAGTTAGCAACATATGATGTACCTGCCAAAAAGACATAAGATATAAGTAAATAACAGATGTTTGATTATGTAACTGAAAACCATAAATATACCAAAAATAAGAGACGTCTGTATGGAAAAAAGAGGAAATAATGAGAATGAAACTGAACAACTCTAGTATTTACTTACAGCTTAATATGCTTATAACAAGCAGGCAGCATCAGAGTCAAACAGTCATTGGCTGCATGCTCAGTTCTATACATCTTGGAAACGTATATCTTTGTTATTTGCTGACTAACAATTGTTTAATAAACTCAGTTAAGCCAAGTTATCTGAGGTCTCTTTAATTACTAAGTAATTTTTTTTTTTTTTTTTTTACAGATTTAAAATCTATTGATCTTTGATAACATGATCAACGTCATGACTGCTGTCACTGTCCTCTACCTCCAGTAGTGGCTGTTTCTCTTTGGTCTGAAATACACTTGCAGATTTGTCAGTGAGAGTGCTGCATTGTTTTTTGTACTAAAAATAGTCACTGTATCACAGAGCAGACTGGCTTTTTTTTCTTTTCTTTTTTTTCCCCCTCAAGCCACAATTATTGTACTGGTGTATGGATCTAAACCTCTAGTGCCTTAATTCTTTTCTTGGTAGTGTTTGGCACATCTAATCAATCCAAAACTCTGGATTTTTCCCAGTCTGCTGTAGACCAACAGAATAGGGACAATGGAATTGAGCTCAGTATGACTCTAAACTTCACTCCATATTATGATCAAGATCATCTCAGCCTGTGGTCTAAGTAGCTAATTGTTAATTTTCAGCAGACTTGGCTAGCATGTTTTCAGTGACATGAAGAAAAGTGGATGTTGGTGATAAGGTGTGTGTCATCAGCATAGGACTTTTTAGGTTTGGAGGCAGGTATTGCCTTATTGGTTGCATAGGACAGGGAAACTGAGCTTTTCTTTTAACGTGGGGACTGCTATGTTTTGTAGCTGCTCTGTATAACAAAAGTCAATTACTGACTTTGTACACGTTTGTTGTGGGAGGTCTGAGAACTTTTTTCCCAACCAAAAATCATAGAAGAAATGAGTAGGCTCTTAGGATCAATTTCTAAAAACTTTTATTCTGAAAACAGAGTACATAATTTATGATTTTGAAAATGTTTAAAGATATTGATTTAAACCTGGGTTTGAAGTGTGTGTGTGTGTGTGTGTGTGTGTGTAATATAACAAATTATGTACTCTGTTTTCAGAATAAAAGTTTTTAGAAATTGATCCTAAGAGCCTACTCATTTCTTCTATGATTCTATATGTACGTCTTTTTTTTTCCTTTCCAATCATAGGAGAAAAGTAGTTATTTTAAAGGATTTTTAGGTTTGTATGCAAGCGAGTGTGATGAAGGAAAGAGTGAAAAACTTATTGAAGGAAAGTGAATATAAGAAATGTAGTTGTTTCATTCATAAAATGAAATGACACCTGTGGTGGCTGTAATCTGTGGAATTGAAATCCATTGTCTAGAAAAGTCATATTCCCATGAAATTCTGTGTCTCAAGCTCATGAGGCTCACAGTTTCATTGCTCCAGGGAAATGTAGCTGTCCTGGGAGGTCCATAGTCATGGAGGGAGAAGTGATATTTTGGATAGCTAGGGCCAATTTTGTGGATGGGTTTGAATATCAGGTCAGAGACTTTGAACTAGACTATATTCTGTGGGCAGCCAGTTTAGAGATTGAAGCATAGGAGCTTGTTCAGAGAGGTCTGTGTTGGAGGGCATGTACCAAGTATTTAAGCCTGGAGGTTCTGACTATATGGATCAACATAGCCATGGCTGCATCCAGTAGGATGGGATAAAAATTCCCAACCACTTACAGATGGAAGGAAATATACTTTGCCAACGCTGCTGTTTGGACATCCAGTAGCATTGAAGAGTACAAAAGAAATCCTAGCTTATGGACTGATTTAAAAATCTGGGGGCAGATGGCCTTCATAATGGGGGATATTGCAGAGAGTCCCGTTCTTCAAAGTACTTCTCTTTTCCTACTAGCATCACTATGGACTTACCTGGGTTTAAGTATAGCCTGCTGCTTTTCATCCAGCTTCTCATTTCACTTACATGTTGAAAAAGCTGTGAGGTAGTTCCTTTGTGCCAAATATGAACAGTACTGTAGAGGTGGCTATTGTGCTTATTGCTGGAACTGCCAGAAGTCTTCCAGTGGCTTCAGGTTGACATTGGATAGAGGATTGATTCTTGTTTTTAATTTTTTTTTTCTTATTTTAAGGCATGAAAGATGGAGAGTTCAAATACAATCATCCACAAGCCTTTGAGAGCAAGAAAAACAATGACTCCAAGTAGTCGAAAACAAGTGGAAATGCTGAATAAAACAAAGAATATTTCAGGACAAGGAAAGATTCTAAACGGCTTGCATACTGAGGATCACCATGTTCAGTTAAATACGGTGGACATAAACTGCAGAAGTAATGATTCTGTAAAAGGAAGCTCACTAACTGAATCAAAAACAGATACGTTCCCTGAAAAAAGTGACATGTTACCTCAAAAATTAACAGCCTCAATACAAGGGTTCAGTGTTAACTCAAAAGTAAATGAAGAAGTAAAACAATGTTCTTATGACAAAAATTTTGATCAAAACTGTCAAGAAGAATCCCAAGAGCCTCCCCATGAGAAATCTTGTAACAAAAACTCTGATGCAAAACAGTTTCTAAATGCTGGGTGTTTACAAGATATACTGCATAAATGGTATGAAAATGAACTAAATTCACCATCCTCCAAGCCAGTTGAAGTGCATTTGTATTCAAAACCAAATAACCTACCTGTTGACCAGTTAAAAGAGAGTGCTTGTTTAAACGATCCAGTTAACAGTGATTCTGGGGATGAAAAAAGAACTAACAAGATTATTCCTATTTTAGAAAAGATAGACACAACAACAGAAATAAATAGTGCAATAGAAGAGGTTATTCCCATATTAAAAAAGGTAGACGTGATACCTGATTCAAATGATGTGAAGCACAAATATAACCTTACTAATTCAGTTACCCCCACACTGCCTGGGACAGATAGAATAGCTGATGGTTCGGAGAGTAAAACATCCTATGGAAATGGTAGTCCAAATATTTCACCAGACGTGGAAGCTGCTGTTATGCTGCAGGATACATCGCCTGGATATAGTATTGGTGGTAAGCACTCTCTTCTTCTAATGATTTATAAATTTGACTGTTTCCAAGATAACTTCTTAAATTTTAGCTTTTAAATTTACAGAAATCTTGTTATAAAAACTCTTTAGGTCGTGGGTGTGTGTTTGAACAAACACATTCTCTCTTCTTTCACCATTCTTGGGGCTGTTTTAGTCTGTCTGACCTGCCAGTGTGCAGTGCTGAAGCATCTTGGATAGATTAAGCACTACTAGTCCAGATGCAGCATTTCCACTTTCTCTGCTTCATTGAAGTGTTCATACACTGTGTTGAAACAGGAGGAGAAATGTAACAGATTTAGGATATGCAGTAGAGGAAGGAGATTGGGTTTCTCTTCCACCCCCCTCTTCCCAAACCAAAGAGTGAATTAAGTAATGAAAAGTGGAAGGCGGGAATAAATGGAAAAAGAAATATAAGATAGATAATGGTGAGAAGGAATGGAACTGAATGGTTACTGAAAACTGAGAATAGAAAACAAGAGACACAGGAAAATGAGCAAGTCCATTCTGAAGCGGTTATTCTAGGCTGTCTAATATAGGACAGGTAATTGTTTGAGAAAAGCAGGCTCAGGCATCAATAAGTGGAAGGAAAAAACAATGCAATGAGGTTGGCCTGCCCTATCCAAGGTGAATACACTGGGCTGAGGGGAAAAGAATGAAACAAAGGCGAAGAGGAGGATGTATCAAAATGTTACGATGTTTTTTCTTAAGTAAATCATCCAACTGGTATGTTCTCAACTGTTAGGTGATCTTGCCTAATCAACTTCATAGGCACCTCTTTTCTTTATTTCTTTTTTGTTTTAAACCTTTGCAGGCTGCACTTTGCCTCTCGTGACCAAACAGTTTTACTATATCATTTCCAGTTCACTCTGTCTACTTAGGCCTGGCCTATACTGTGAAATGTTACCATGTCTGAACATGTTTAACAACCATGTTAGCTGACATGATGCTGAACACATAGACTAGGATAAATGGTGTTGAAATATTGTCAACTAATTGTGACTAAACCCTGATTGTGTTAGGGTGCCCTATGCAGAATTTTTGAATAAAGAAGTCTAATAAACTGTTGGCTTTGGTGCTTGGATCTCTGGGGCTTGTATGGAATAGGTAACTGTGATGGAATTCCTAGAACTGCTTAACAGTTATTTCACAACTATAATGACTACTAATGACTGTGCTCAAGATTCCCTCAGGCCTATGGCGATCAATATTAAATCCTTTATCATTGTCCACTGAATATGTTTATGTGATCCTTATTTGGAAATTTTTCAGGTAAAACTAAAGCCACCTCCACAAGTGTCACTTCAACATTTTTTTTATTTTATTTTATTTTATTTTTGTAATCAGTTAAGAGGACAGTTAGGGGCATTGTCCTCTTAACTGGTTACAAATAACATGGTTTAGTTTTGTATTCACATAGCAACTTTTCTGTCATCACAGTCTTGTTTGTACATCTGCATCTAGCCCACTGCTTTGCCATGTTCGCATGGGTGCTTTCGGGGGAAAATTTGGGGATTTGTCTGATAGTGCTTCAGCAATTGTAAGGTGGTTGGAGGACACCTACACAGAGCAGAATTAATAACCTATTAGGCAGTATGCTCTATAGCAGTGGTTCCCAAACTGGGGTTCGTGAACCCCTGGGG